CTCTTTCAAAGTAAGGCCCATTTTTCATGGAGAATGCATTGGGCCCTTCTACACCGTTAGGAAAATCTGTGTAATTGTAAGGATCATTTGGAGGCAGGATAATCTTCCAAAGGAAGTGGTGGAATAACTACCTTTGGAGATAATGAAGTTTGGACCAATCAGTGAGGTCTGGGATAATTAAATGACCTTGCAGTGGTGTAAGGAAACAGGCTAGATGCTGTACCCATGGCTTCTTCTGATCCAAAGAACTGTTTGAAATTTGTATGTAATTGATCCTTCAACAAGTTTATATTTCCCTCTCCTAACTGTGAACAGAGCTGGTTTGACTTTGCACTGAAAAGTATGTGATTTATAGGAGGTTGGGTGACCTACCTGAGCCTCTGTAGGAAAGTGGAGCTCTTCTACTGATTCACCCTAGACTCAGGAGCTAAGAGCTTCCATTATGATGCAAAGTACTTACTGATGAATCATGTTGGCTGGTGGTTCTAATTAGCTCCAACCATGATACAGAGGAGGTGGGAGTTGTCTGTTTTGACAAGAGGAAGAATAAAGGAGCTAGAGTAGTTTCCTTTGGGAACAGCCAGGCTCAGGGAAGAAGTTTAGACAGGTGTTATGCTGTGTGAATGTTACTGAGAAATATCATAAAGTCAGACCCCAGGAAGGGTGTAAGTTTGGCTACAACCTCAGGGTCAGTCTGACGTGGTGAGGATTCAGCTAGGGATTCACTAGAAGATACAGGAAATTCAGGACAAAGAGTTGTAGAGTTTGTACTTGATTGATGCCCGGACAGGAAAACTAACGCCCCAAACTCTCTTCCCACCCCTCACATTGTTGTGCCTTTTCTTTCTGCACACATGGGATCTAAGGAGGAGAGAGCATCAGTATTTACAGCGAACGTACAGTCTTCTCTTCTTTCTTGTCATTCTACCTTCATGTTATTTTAAATATAGTTCACTAAATGTAGAACATTTTAATTGCCTGGTCCCATCTGCCAGGTTAAGGTGAAAGACTCACCAACCCCTGTTTTCATTTATTTGCAATGCTGGAAGCCAAGAACATAAAGGGATATAATGAATGTCAGCCTGCTGTCTCTCAACATCGCCAAAAGATCTCTAGTCTTCTTGCCAGTTTACACCAACTGATTTCAAAGGAGCTAGGCCAATTCACATCAGCTGATGATCTGGACCCTCATATTTTGTTGGTTCAAAGAATCCTAGAAATTAGAGTTGGAAAGGCCAGTTAGGTCTCCCACTGCAGCTCAGTGCCAATGCAGGTTGTTCCCTTTTATACATTTTTTTTAGTGTCCAAAATGATGAAGCTTCCGCTATTCCCTTGGGAGATTTACTCCCCAGATTAATATTCAGTTTACATTTCCCCCTCCTTATTTTAATCCCATTTCTCCTAATTCTACCTTCATGGTCTCACTAAATAATTCCTCTCCCTTCTTGATGGTTAGATCCCACACATTTTGTTGACTGTTCTCATGTTCCCCCATCATCGTCCTTTATCGTGAGCGGCAATTGCAGAAAGTCAAGGCTGTCTGTTAAGCTTTAAAACCAGAAAATGTAAATTGAGAGCTGAGTGCTGATGCTGTCTACATCCTGGGGGACATTCGGGTAGGTTTCATTTAATTGTCTGCATATATTTGATCACATCTCATAGCTAGGTACCCAAGGACCTGACCATCCTTTATTCCATTCTAAAATATGAGAGTTCAGATGTAAGCTAAATTCTGCTCATGAATTCAGATGTAAATATTTAGATTTGGATGTTCATAAATAGCAACTGATAATACAGTGGGCACAAACAAAGGCTTCAAGACTTGATGAGTGCCATTGTGTGTTGGTTCAAAGAAATCAGTTTTACACCTTGCCTCTGTACTCCAGAATAAACCACACACGGTTTGGCAGAAAGAGAGATCTTTGTTCTAGAATGAATCACTTCTTGTTTAGAGAGAATGGACGTCTCTTCAATTTTCCCAGGTCATCATCATCATAATCATCACCATCATCATCATTTATTTATTTGAATAAATATAGTGCCCAGGAGCCCTAGCTATGGATCATAACCCCATTGTGCTAGGCACTTTTCAAACATAGAACAAGGCCAAGGATTGATGTGTAAGCAGAGGACTTAGGATGTGTATCTACAAGATAATAACAGATAAGTGTATGAAAAGAATAGCAAAAATCTTAGAATGCGTTTTACAGTAGTACCTAGGAACCCCACTCAAGGAACAGGGTCACATTGTGCTATGTGTTGTACAGATAAAAAAGGACTACACCTCATAATGTTTTTTGTTTGGTTGGTTTTTTGTCGCACAAAATCATGCATGTGTATGATCCTTTGAGTGGTTATTTCTAAAATAAGGGGCAAAGTTCATCCAGTATTGGCTTGATCTAGAAGGGGGAACAGTAAGCATGAAGTAAGGTCTGTCTCTCAAAATAACAGACAGCTGGTTGCCCTAAAAGGTTTCAGATCACTTAGATTTGAGACCACTGAGCTAAATTGCAATGTTCTGTTTTGACTGACATTGATTATTGTTTCTTGCTGTCTCAGAATAGAGCCAAAGATAAATCTGAGCAAGGTTCTGTAAGCAATGGGAGAATCATTAAGCTGTCAGACTAAGACAGAGAATGAGGGCATGTCTATTCTACAGCAGCACAGCTGTGTTGCTGTAGGGCTGTAGTGTAGACACTTCCTACATCGATGGAAAGGGTTCTCCTGTTGCTGTAGTTAATCCACCTCTCTGAGAGGCAGTAGCTAGATCAACAGAATGATTTTTCCATTGACCTAGCTGCATCTACACTTGGGTCAGATCAACCTAACTACATTGTCCACAGAGCAAAATTTTTCACATCCCTGAGTGATGTAGCTAGGTTCACCTAAATTTTAGGTGTAGACCAGGCCTTAGAAAGAGGATCGTCTTCTCTCTGAGGCAGAAAATACAGAAACCCTAAGAAAATCGAAGAATAGGATATTGCTTCCTGAAGCAATTCTACCTTATTTGGTTTCTTGTTAACTTGAAATTATAAGATGACACATAAACCAACAGGCCATTGAGGGGGGCTGCTGTTTTTGTCTTGCTTGGATTAATCCTCATACATGTAGAAAGACTTCATCTCTAAAGGGTATCATGAAATGTCAACATTTATATTGCTATAATACCTTGCATTTGCACTCACACATACAAATATTGCTTTAAAGGTCACATTCACACCAGAGCATGCTGAGCTTTGGGATAATCCAATCAATCTTATTCTGAGAGTTAGAAAAGATACACTCTGATTGGTTTGTTGAAGTCCTTCAATTAACATACAGCACAGGAAAGTCCCAAGCAGTCATCTTTGACAGAGTGATTCATTAACTGGTGGGGACAGAGGAATCACTGTCATAGAAGCATGGTGTAGGGAAAATGATTTGGACTTTAGGAATCAAACTATGAAGTCAAGCAGGGCCGGCTCCAGGCACCAGCTTCTCAAGCAGGTGCTTGGGGTGGCCGCTCCTGGCGGCACGTCCAGGTATTCGGCGGCAATTCGGCGGACGGTCCCTCACTCCGCCTGGGAGTGAAGGACCTCCCGCCGAATTGCTGCCGCAGATCGCGATCGCAGCTTTTGTTTTGTTTTGTTTTGTTTTGGCTGCTTGGGGCGGCCAAAACCCTGGAGCCGGCCCTGAAGTCAAGTATCCTTTCAATGCGGTGGTAACATTTTGTTTTTATTCTAACCATACTGCAGATTTGGAAGCCCAAAGTCTGTAATAGCACATGAGTTCCAGTTAGTAAATTTGACCACAACAGAGGGACAGATCGCAGTCGATGTAACTTTGTGTAGGCCCATTGACTTCAATGAAACTATGCTGATGTACACCAGCTGAGGATCAGGCCTGGAAAGTGAAACTAACCAATCCAGTTTCACTGCTTAGGCTGAAGGAAATGCAAATAATAAGTAATAAAAACAGCATAAACTGATGAAAAGTCAATTAGATTTTTTTTTAAATTGTCTGAATTTAACTAAATTGCTACTACCCCGGTAGCAATGTGGTTGATAAGAAATTTCTTTTAAATATATCATTTTTATCCTGACAGTGCTTTTCTAAATGGAAGTTTCATGCATGGATCAAAGGGAAAAGTCACCCCTTAGAGTTTACATGAAACCCACACCACTAACCTAGTTTTAATTTTAAAAAGAAGTTGTTCAAGCATTTATATCTTGTCCTTAAATTCACGCTACTTTTTTCTTTGTTGAAAACATTCGCACTTCTGCCTCACAATGATTATTGATTTATTACAAAGTAGGGCTGATCAAACAGAATTTGCCAAATGCAAATTTGGTGAATTTGGGCTTATTTGTTGCATCTTAAAGTATTTGCGGAATACTATTAACTGAGAATCTATTTGGTATTTTAAAATATCCTGTGAATATTACAGGCACATGAATGACAAGCCTCTGGGTTATTCATTAACTATTTGATCTTGAAATTCAGTATTCTGACTTCAATACCCAAGTTGCAAGTGGGTTGTTCTCTGTCATATGGACATTACTCATGTAACTGTGATATGTTACTTAAATAGGGCTGAAGATATGTATTTGACTGAATCATTCAGGCCAGTTCCAAAGCTTTATGAATGCCAATGGGCTAACTATGATTGAGTCAATCAAAGACTAAATATTTATGAAGTATTGGGGAATTTTTTTCTCCAGTGTTTGATCAGCACTGTTGCAGAGTTTTCTGCTCCTCTCCTTCTCTGCGTGTGGTGTTGCTACAGAGCCAAAGAATTCACTTTAGAGGAATAGAATCACTGATTGCCTGGGGCAGAGTGCTGATGTCTGATGTAGGGAGCACATTCTCTGCTACTTCTGCTGGCTGCAAGTCTGGGAGCTGCTGCTTTTGAGTTAAACAAGTAATTTCTACTGTGGCAATTGTTAGAATCTGGCCAATGAGACTCCACTGTGTTGTTTTTCCTGATTCTGTTGAGCCCTTCAATTTTCTCTTGCTTCCAGGATTTACTGAGCTCCAGCATGATCCTCATCCTGGTCCTTTCATCCTTCCCTGATGACCAGGTAACTCACTTAGTTTAGATCTAGATTCATCTGTGTCCTGAAAAAACCTGCTCTCTTGTGCGTGCACATGCTCCCTCATTGTAAATCATTGACATCAGTAAGAAGCTTACACACTATGCCCAGCTGTTTGCTTTTAGGTATCCTTCATTTCATGTGGGGCTCTGTGACACACCCTCTGACATACAGCTAGCCACACATTTGTGCCCTAACAGATTTGGAAGCTTGGCCCTTTCACTTTAGTAATCTAATAGTCACTTCATTCTCAGGTGATTTCAGTTGTGCTTGTTACAGTTTACTCTGTAAGGGTGAAATCCTGGCTCTGTTGAAGTCAGTGGGAGTTTTGCCCTTAGTCTGTTAACTGGGGCCCTGTCCTGTAAGCACTGACCCCCAGGTCAGTACATTTCTTATTTTAAATAATTGGCTTAGGAAACCTTTCACACGTTGTCAGTTAGCGTAAAGCAAAGCATAGTTAAAGCAAAGCATAGTTTTGAGTGAAAGCTCATTAGACAATGCCAAATGCATTCATTTGGTAGCAACCCATCTTTAACAACTACACTTTTACTGTGCAAGCTGCAGGGTAAAGTAATAGAATTTAAAAGAAGCCAGGGTTTCTAAATGAAGATATATTATATGGGCATCCTCTACTTTTTTGGTGAAGGCTCAGATTTGTAGAATTGCCCCTACAAAGGTGTATGTGCATATAAATGAACACTTTACTTGTGAATGCAATAATGGTAACTGTGTCATCTTATATGACCAGTTGGATGTCTAGCTACACAAGCAATTACCTTGGCTTGCACATGCAGTTGCGATAATGGGCACACATTTCTTCATATGCATTTCTAATGATCTGAGCATAGATATATATTTAAGGCTAGCTTTTTCTTAAACCCAGAGAATTAAATTCTATTGAAATATATAATAAATAATAATCATGTTGCCTGCTTCAATACAGGTCACACAGTGTTTCTTTGATGCTGAGATAGCTACTTAGCTGATCACCATAATTTAAACTGCAGAAGGAGGCATTGTCTAATGGGCATTAATTACAAAACAAGTGTAGGATATTAAAGAGACACTCAACTTATAGTTGCTGGTAATGTTAAACCCCATGCCTTTGGCCCTTATTTACTACATGTTTCATGAATACAACGGCTTTGGTTTGATTTTACCTTGTTTGTGCCCATTGTTATCCTGCTAGTTAAATGTAAATGGACTAAAACTTGCAAGGAACATGGCTTATTGCAGTCTTGGCAAAGGGTTCCCAGTTTCATGCATGGTGCAGACAGCAGCACTAATGCAATGTAACTATGAGCCTTCCAACTGAGCCTTGCATGCCAGATGGCATCAGAGCTCCAGGTGCTAAATGAAAGGACTCCAGGAACCTTTGACTTCCGTATGGAAAGGAGACTTTCTGGAGAAAGAGGGTCATGCGGGAGCAGGGAAGGGAGATGACTTTGTTGGTGATTGGTGTATGTGTTCCTCTCAGCTGGTTGCCAGACATTCTGAATGGGCCTATTTACCTCATCCCCTGGCCAGAATCAATGCACTGACCAATGCACTCTTACAGAGTGAATTGCAGTCTGCAGGCAACATGTGCAATAGTGGATCTGAAAATGGCCTGCACCACTGCTCTTTTTTCTCACTAGACCCCTCAGAGGATACACAGAGCTCTGTGACTGTGCTGTCCATTCCCTGGGAGCCCCCGACTGGCTGTCCCTCACTCCCATGCAGCTTGTCCTCGGCCTGTCTCTCTCACTGCTCCCCAGTTGGGGAAAAGTCCTTCAGTTCTGACTGATTCAGATAGTCTGTGCATGACCTTAATCAATCTCTACTGGATACTTTCTAAAGAGGGGGAGCTCTTTCCGCCATGGTAATCGGAGCCAGAACCAGTGCTCCTATTAGAAAGATTTGGGGGCAGGTTTTTTTTCTGGGTTAGTATCACATATGAAAGTGTGCTTCTGTGAACCCCCTGACCTTGTTGGGAAAAACTGGTGGGACTGACACATAGCAATTGCCTGGGCTTCTTGCTAGGAGATGCTCAAGAGCAGTGTTACTAAGACTGGGAGAGCTGTATTCAGATAAGGGGCCATCACACCAGGATGTTGGGAGTATGTATATCTAACACAGAATGCCTAGAGTTAGCCACTGAGGCTACATCTTCACTACGGGGAGGGGGGGAGGTCGATTTAAGATACGCAAATTCAGCTATGTGAATAGCGTAGCTGAATTCGACGTATCGCAGCCGACTTACCCCGCTGTAGGGACGGCGGCAAAATCGACCTCTGCGGCTTCCCGTCGATGGCGCTTACTCCCACCTCCGCTGGTGGAGTAAAAGCGTTGATTCGGGGATCGATTGTTGATATTGAACAAAACTTGCCCCAGGACCAACCCTTTAGGCACTCTGCTTGATACCGGCTGCCAACTAGACATGGAGCCATTGATCACTACCCGTTGAGCCCGATGATCTAGCCAGCTTTCTATCCATCTTATAGTCCATTCATCCAGCCCATACTTCTTTAACTTGCTGGCAAGAATACTGTGGGAGACCGTATCAAAAGCTTTGCTAAAGTCAAGGAATAACATGTCCACTATTTCCCCCTCATCCACAGAGCCAGTTATCTCATCATAGAAGGCAATTAGGTTAGTCAGGCATGACTTGCCTTTGGTGAATCCATGCTGACTATTCGTGATCACTTTCCTCTCCTGTAAGTGCTTCAGAATTGATTTCTTGAGGACCTGCTCCATGATTTTTCCAGGGACTGAGGTGAGGCTGACTGGCCTGTAGTTCCCCAGATCATCCTCCTTCCCTTTTTTAAAGATGGGCACTACATTAGCCTTTTTCCAGTCATCTGGGACCTCCCCCAATTGCCATGAGTTTTCAAAGATAATGGCCAATGGCTCTGCAATCACATCCGCCAACTCCTTTAGCACCCTCAGATGCAACGCATCCAGCCCCATGGACTTGTGCTCGTCCAGCTTTTCTAAATAGTCCTGAACCACTTCTTTCTCCACAGAGGGCTGGTCACCTCCTCCCCATGCTGTGCTGCCCAATGCAGAAGTCTGGGAGCTGACCTTGTTCTTGAAGACAGAGACAAAAAAAGCATTGAGTACATTAGCTTTTTCCACATCCTCTGTCACTAGGTTACCTCCCTCATTCAGTAAGGGGCCCACACTTTTCTTGATCTTCTTCTTGTTGCTAACATACCCAAAGAACCCCTGCTAGCTGCAATTCCAAGTGTGATTTGGTCTTCTTGATTTCACGCCTGCATGCCTGAGCATTTTTATACTCCTCCCTGGTCATTTGTCCAATCTTCCACTTCTTGTAAGCTTCTTTTTTGTGTTTAAGATCAACAAGGATTTCACTGTTAAGCCAAGCTGGTCGCCTGCCATATTTACTATTCTTTCTACACATCGGGATGGTGTGTTCTTGCAACCTCAATAAGGATTCTTTAAAATACAGCCAGCTCTCCTGGACTCCTTTCCCCCTAATGTTATTCTCCCAGGGGATCCTGCCCATCAGTTCCCTGAAGGAGTCAAAGTATGCTTTTCTGAAGTCCATGTGGAATAGTCTCTCAAGTGGAGTACCACTACCTGGGACATCTGAAATTAGACTGGACAAAGCAATGGAAAGTGTGCTTTCGGGAACAATCCAGCATTGGCAGAGAGATGGCTTGGGTGAATTAATAGGTCTTTACCATCTCTAATGTCTCTGATGAGGAGCGTACGAGTCAGAGAAGGAGTGAGTTAGGGAAGGGTTCGCTTCACTGAGAATGATTATGCTCCTGAGTGCTGTTCAGCAGGATTTACTTCTGACAAAAATCACCAATCATTCCATCTCATCCAACCACCCCCTACTGCTCTCTGAGAGGAGATATGAGGCTCTGCAGCTGTATCCACTGGGATCCTCTGAGCAGCTGTGAGCAAAAAAGCAAAATCCCCAGTTAAAATATAAATATGTTTTAAAAAATTGTACATATTTCAACACAATGTAACCTGGTATTTTATCATATTGGTACTTGGACACCATGGTGATGGGCTCTTTATAAATACAAAGAGAACAATGATTGATTAGGTAGGGGGCTCTCCATCATCATTTCTCAGCCTGTCTAAAGATTTGTCTTTCAGGTGCTTGGCACAACAAATCCACTCAGCCTCCATCTGCAACTCACAGAGCAACAGTTCAATAGTTTCAACCTGAAAACCAAGCAATGGTAGGTAAATAGCATAATGGCTAAAAGGGGTCAGGATGGAGACTCTTGCCTATATGCTCGGGGTCTTACTGATCGCCATATTTGGGGTCGGGAAGGAATTTTCCTCCAGGGCAGATTGGCTGAGCCTCTGGAGGTTTTTCGCCTTCCTCCGCAACATGGGGCAGGGATCACTAGCAGGAGGGTCTCTGCCGATTGAAGTCACTAATAACAGGATTGGGGACTTCAGCAGCAGAGTCCAGGGAAGGGGTAGGGACGGTTTTATGGCCTGCAGCATGCAGGGGGTCAGACCAGATGATCATAATGGTCCCTTCTGACCTTAAAGTCTATGAGTCTATGAATAGCTGCGGGGTACTGAGCCACCATCATCACTGTAAATGGAGGCGGAGAATTCAGGCTGAATTAGCTGATTAAGGTTCCAAGCTAGACTCTAGAGTATGGTGCATAGTGAACAGCAAGGAGTAAATCTCAAAGGCCCAGATCCGCAAAGGTATTTAGGCTCCTAATTCCCATTGATTTCAATGGGAGTTAGGACCCTAAATACCTTTCAGGATCTGGGCCAAAATGTTCAGAGGTTGTGTTCATGTAAACTCCCGAATTCTGAAGTTTTTTCGGAACTCTTTAGCATCTCAACTGTGTAGGATTTGTCTGGGAGCTTCCTCCTTTCGTCTATGAAGAGGTGAGAGATAAACCGCTAGTCATTTTCAAGAGAGGTGTGTGGTGAATGTATTAACGATGTGCTGGAGGAACACAGCATCTATTGTTCTCGGGGGAATCAAAACTGTCATT